CATCTTTATTTAACCTAAATCTGTAATTACAGTTATTTAATTTTAGTTATATAATTCATATACATATCATTTACATATATCATTTCATATAATTTAGTTATATAATTTCATATACATAATTTGAAGCAAAAACAGAATGTTCTGACCAGCTTTGTGAAATTATACTACATGCCTGAACGAAACAAATAGCAGAAACACATTCATATAAACCCCCAAATCAATATTGAGGATTTTCTTCCAATAGTTCTTGCATCATGAACAGTGAGTGATCTGCCTGCTACAGTATTTTTCTCTGTGTGTCCGTCTTCAACGTCTCTGGCCTGTGTTAACGGCCGTTTACAGACTTCATATTTTCACATAAAATAACATTTTGGAAAACGATTGCATTGCAATGCAATTCGTGCAAGTCCAGAACAGAGACAAGTTGCTTGCAATAAGACAAAAAACGTCCGGTTGCCGATCGTGTGAGTTCCAGGGGCAGCTCCTTAAGTTCGGCCATCCTACACACATGTGACTGACCGCTCGCTCGCACCAACAGGAGGAGGCTCGTGTTACTCTACACTGCACTCAACCTGAGGGATTCCTACACTTTCAGTCTTTGAGGAGACATGAAAAGCAGCGCATACCGCGGGAACAGTATAACGGAAAATATTAGCTGTTTTGAAACCGTGATATTTTCAAATCGCGGTATACCTTGAAACCGGAAAACGGCCCATGCCTATTACTGGGTTAATCTTTTTCACGTTTCCTTGGTTGGTAGATGCACTGGGGACCTGATTATAGCACTTAAAACCTGGAAAAGTCAGATTTTCATGATATGTCACTTTAAATGTTCAAATCACACTGGTGTAATCATACTCTACATGGATGAACCAAGTGATCACAACGTTGTGATCGTACACGTCAAATGTTGAGGAATGAAACAGACGAATCATTGTAATTTAGGGAGAATCACGTTGGTGTCTGAATCGTGTTCACGATATTTAACGATCTATTAAATTATAGTGCTTTGTCATGTTGGTGGTGACATCTCTCTTGCAACATGTTTAGCCATCACAGATATTATACTTAGCTTTTTTGGCTTCTGATCGCAAGTGTAGCCAAACTTTGGAGCGCTTAGATTAGTGAGCAAGGTCCTGGCAGATCGCTAGCTCTGGTCCTCACAGATGAAGAAAAAAAAAAAGAGAACTGCACACAGGAATCGATAGGCAGAATCGAAATGTTGCGCTTAGATTAGTGAGCAAGGTCCTGGCAGATCGCTAGCTCTGGTCCTCACAGATGAAGAAAAAAAAATAAGAAAAGAGAACTGCACACAGGAATCGATAGGCGGAATCGAAATGTTAATTTTACAACAAGTATCCGATTCCTGACCTTAAGTATCCGATTCTGGAATTGGAATCGATTTTAGATTCCCAACCCTAATCATTATTTAAGACATATTATAATTATTATTAATATTATTATAAAACAACAACAATTATTATTAATATTTTTGATTGGATAATGAAATTCATTGTCAGTTATTTTTATTATCTATTGTTAGTTGATACATTTAATACATTTTTTGATAAACTGAAAAATAAAACTAAAATTTACATATCGTAATAATCAGATTTAAACAGCGGGCTAATACAATTCATGGTCATTTATTTCTATTACCGATTAGTTGAATAATTCAACTGGAATTAATAACATATTACATAGTAATTTAATTGAAAGGAATTTCGATCCATCAGGAATAGACTGGATGATGAAATGTTGTATTTGTATGACGGTGGCATCTCACCCTCCTCTGACAGCGGTTTGTCTTTGGTCTCTTGGTCCATCTGCTGACACCAGGCCTCCATGCGCTCGGTCTCGGCCTGCAGAAGCTTCTGGAACCAGCACCCGTCCCTGAGGCACGCCGCGCCCCCGGGCTGCTCCACGGCCCCGTTCACGCTCCCGGCCTGCAGAGACGGGTCAGGTGGCGGGAGGGAGGATGGGTCCAGCGCCGGGTCCAGCTTCTCCTGCAGCAAGGGTTTGAGAACACTGCCCCAGTCCAAACTCTGGTGGGGCGTCTTGTTCTGCGAGGGTTTACCGTCGGACTGCTCCTGAGATTCAGCCTCCGTCGTCTCCTGTCTAGACGCCATGCTAGTGAAGCGACTGAGTCTGGACACACAGAGAGAAGAGACCCGTTAAAGACACCAACCAACACTCAAACTACACACTTCCATTAGTTTATGAATTTTCTGTTATTATTTCTGTTATTCATTTCTGTTATTATATCTTAACTAATTAAGAATTTTAAATAGATTTATAAATATCAATTTGACAAATATCAATAAAGCCTCCCTAGTTTACATGTTGTTAGATATTCTCCATTTCATTGGACTGTCTTAGAAAATAAAAAGCAAAAATGAGGAGCAGAGACTGGGAACGCGGGCCGGGAGAAAGACAGACAGCTGGTGTGTGGGAGACAGCACACTTACAGAGAGACATGTAAATGAGAGAGATATGAAAATAGACTGCAACGGAGAGTGCCAGGAAACAAAGCGAGTGGGAGATGCGCGCAGAATCTCATTATCATCTGCCGTCTGCACTGAATCATTATTTGTGAGTGTTTTCAGTGCCATACATGGCTGAGAAACTCTGCTGCTGCCTCTTTCAGAATCGGCTGCACACAATCCACCTGCCACAAGAGAAACAACTCAGATCCAATACATCTAGAATTTAAAGTAGTTATGAATCAGCTCTAATGAGCTCAACACAGCACTAAGGTCACTGACTGATTCAGCGAAACGGCTTGAGTCTAAAGGGGTCGTTTGATGAAAAACAGGTTCTTTCCTGCTCTTTTGAAAAGTCTGATATGCTATGTGACGTAGTCAATATTCATAACTCACACCTCCCTCGCTAGTTTACCCAGAGCATTTAAATGAGAGTAAAATACAAAACCTCTCATTCAGAATTAGTCATGGTGTGTCAGATTCATGAGCTCGTTAACATACAACCGCCAACATTTACATATCAGAGCCTACGGTATTCAACAAATAAGCCTGAATGACTGTATGAATTGAATATATAAGATCATAAATTGATTTCTACACATCCTATAACAATACAGACCATATCTACTACGTTATAAAACATTCTTTCATAAATAAAAAAAAATGCATAAATACCAATAAAATTTTAAACATGATTATTTATATATAAAATAAAATAATTTACATTTTTAGAATTGTAAAATATCATACAATTTTACACAACCAATAAAATTGTACGTTATTGTTTGTGTAATATATGTGACCTGGGATGGCAAAATGAGTCACAATGAGTACATTTTCAAAAATGTGTTACTGTAAGATCCTTTTCATGGCTTATCGCTCTTAATAACTCTTTTAACATCAATCAAGTCCTGCCATTTATTTTCTCATTCCTGCATGTTCCTTTCAAAACCGAAACTAAAACGTCAGACGCAGAAGTGCTTCACTTGGATAAACAACTTTTTCAAACAAAGAAGGTACAGAAAACATACAAATAAGGATAATTTTAGATGTTTAATTACTATGTGGAGCACTGGGTTCACTAGACAAGGCCTTAATGGACTCATTTTTGTGAAAATTCAACCAAATTGACATTTTTCAGCTGACGTTATTGCCTGTGCCGCTGGTAACAAAACAGATCGGCTCAGAATCGGAAAGAAGTTAGACTGACCGGCTGATCATGAGGAAAATCTTCCGATTCCGATCCCTGGCCG